GTAGCATTCTTGTTGTTTCTACAAGCCCCTCTCTGAGCAGGTATCCTATTATCATCCCTAGTTATTCCGAGCCGCACGCATCGGAGTCACGGAGGAGGGGGCCGTCTGTCGGGGATCAAGCCACTTGGTAGTTCTAGTGTAGATTCAAGACCCACAGAATTCCATGTAGTCTTTGCAGCATAATCGCTTGGAGCCCAAATCTGTTGAGATTCCCGAGATTTGTGCTTTTTAATCTGGTCCACCGGACCGGTGTTTGCAATGTGGTTGGATCCACACACTTGGAAAGTTTCCAGAATGTCGATCACCCGCCAGTATCGAGACTCACCATAGCGGTCTTAGGGCGAATTGCCCATGCCTTCTCGTTTTCCTCGTCCGAGAAGTGTTCTTCCGCACATGCGAAGCTGGTGCGACTTATCTCGAAGCCTGGGGGCGGACAGGACTTGAGTTGTTCGCTTTGCTTTGTTTTCATTCCCTGTGAGGAATTCCTTCCTACTAGTTTTCGACAGTTCTTCTGACTGTGTACTCTACTTACTTCAGTCAGAGCCGGTCAGCCGGTCTGGTCATGTACAGTCTGATCAGTGGTGCTGCCTGAAGAAAGGACCTTGACTTGATGGGGTGTCTGCCTTATCAGGGAGCGCACAGCTCGCAGTCTGTGTCGGGTTGCTTGAACTTGAAAAATGTGCCACAGACTTTTGGGCATGTCCAGCGCCGTTTCGGTAGGCATTCTCTCCGCGGCTTCCGGAAAACAAATCTTGTGATCGTCAACATGTGTGCTGCCGATAAAGACGAATAAAGACGCATTCCCCCTTCTAAGACCTGTTAAGCGTGCTTTTGCGCGCGATGGCTCGTGCCGACATCTGCGCTGACAGGCCAGCTGATGCTTCTGGTCTGTGCATCTGGTTCCATAGGCCCATAGGTGCCTGCAGCATAGCGTGTTCTAGCCGCAGGTTCCGGTTTGTCCGTGAAGTCCGTTTGATTGCGCCGCCCTCGCGAGCATTTTGTTTTTGCTTCGGCTCCTTGGCTCAGGGATCTAATTGGAGGTTTGTTCAGCAGGCACTGGAACTCAAGGCTTGCCATCTTGTGCCTGCTTTGGCCGAGCGGCCCCTGACCCTCGCCAGGTTTGTGTTACTGCTTCTCCTGGTTTTAGGGGGTGGCTTGCCGCTCCTCCTCGTAATTGTCATTCCGCTGACAGCACACTGAGGTTTGTCAACATGTCACGTCGCACGTGCGACTGAGCCCATGACCTTTCGTGGCTTGGAGACATCCGTGGCAGAAAAGCTCGAGGTTGCAACCTTCTTGGGAGATACGTGGTGAAGCTCGGGAGGTATCATGGGGGGAGCACCAGAACCCGGACCTAGATGGGAAGTGTTCTTCCGGGCACCAAACTCGGTTGGATTTTGGGCTCGGGCTTTCTGCTTGCCGCAGCTCACGGCTTTTTCACCAATTCGGAGCGGTTAGTGGTTAGTTCGGAGAACGACGCATCAGTTTCTGGAGGCGCGAGTCAGACTCCGGATCCGTTCCTGCGGACATCCTTGCATGAGTCGTATGCAGGGTTGCTTCGGGTGTGATCTTGTGTGTCTCCGCACGACGTGCCCGTGGCCCATCGTGGCCCTGCAGGGATCAGTACTGATGGCCTCCATTTTCCAAGAGCCGGCGCTGTGCGCCGAGGCACGGCCGGTAGCAACCTGCTGTGACCGGTTTTTGACAGTCTGGAAGGGAAGCTTCAGCATTCACCCCTCAGGACCTTTCGCCAAATTCCATCTCGAACTTGGCGGCGGGAGTATTTCGCCCGCGCTTTCGTGAATCTTTGTTTCTGTGTTTTTGTTTTGCCGGCCAGGGAACCGACCTCTTTAATGTTAATGCGGCGGATGACTCAGTTGACATGCAGGATGTCATGCAGTGTTGGTGTTGGCAATTGGCGGGCAGAAGAAACGTCGGGGCGGTCTGGGTCAGTCTCGGAAAGGCTCAGTGTGTCATATGTGTCATGACTCTGCAATTATTGCAATTCATGCATCGCCATCATTGCTCGTGGTCCTCGCTCAGGAAAGCTCCGAGAAGCCGTCTGCGAATGCTCAGGAGGTGGGATGGAGACATCGTGCGCGCGCGAGCGCCCATTCGCACGAGCTCCGGCCAGCAACCAGATGTGAACTCCGGCTTGCTTTTTGTGCGAGGCTGCTTCGAAGTTGAAGAAGCTGGCCAACCAGGACGGGCAATCGCCCGATCAGAGTTGACGTGCAGCTGCTCGATCTTCTTGTTCCCGTCTTGTGTATCCTCTGATCGCAGGCTTCCACGATCGGGCCTGAGCCCTTGTTGACGGGCGTGGAGACGAACGGGCCCTGGAAGGGGGTGTCCCGGCGCAAGCCTGCGAGCGAAATGGCTCTAAGCCCTAATCGGCCCCGGCATAGGGGCTTCAGGTCGGACGGAGGCAGGATGTCCCCAAAGCTCGTACGAGGGATGGGGCGACTGAAGCTCTCGACGAAGACGGACCACTGTTCTTTCAGGCTTAGGAGCATTTAGGAGCCTGTTTTGGCTGAGATTCAAGTCGTGTGTGCACCTCGGGATGCGAGAACCTTTGACAACTAGATAGCTTTTTGCATGCTGAGCTCCCTGCTTGACATGCTGCGGGCCTGAAACACAAGACGAGTAGGAACAGTTGTAGGTTGCTTAGGTTGCAGGCGGTGGCTCACGCTGTCAAATTTCGGACTTCAGGTGCTGTATGGCTTTTGGCCTGCTCTTGTCCTTGTGTTGGGCATGGTCGCCACTGCCTGAGACATACTCAGCACCGCCGTTCGCTGTGACTTTCTTCCTTGGCTAGGTGATGCTTGCAATCCTGAACGTGCGCTGGGCTTTGGATGGCTCGTTGGGCTTTCAGGAGCTTCACGGAAGGACAGCGGGTTTGCTCGACTGCTTCAGGCAAAGGAGACACGTACGCGTATCAGACCCTAGAGAGTGGCGGCTGAACAGGACGGTGGTCGCAAGTGCCCGCTTGGAGTCGCCGGGCTTGCTGCTGTGGCGCGTCGCGCCTCGAGCGGAACAGTCAGTCAACCGCTCTTCACTTGCACAGCACTCACTCGTCGTCACACCATGTGCGCTGCGAAGAATCGCCGCGCGAGTCGGCATGTCGCGTCGTGAAGGCTCCCTGCTTTGCTGGCTTGCCTGATTCTTTCGGTGGCGCCGCTGGTTCTCAGCGTCAGGCGGTATAATGCCAAAGAGAAGGAGCTCGTTCTGCCAGGGTGCGCGCTTCATGCCCTGACGGCTGTGCAGCCTTGTTACTGATGTTACTGCTTGTCAGTCATGCCGCACAAGCCAAGTCGGTTCCGTCGAAGTTCGGTTGAAGTTTACCCCAGCCGTTACGCTGCAATAATGCGGGGTGTGATTAATAACCCCCCCCCTCCCCCCCGGCCAGGATTGGGAATAAGCGCGTACCGGGACCGCAGCCGAACGATTGAAGGGGTTGGAATAATGGGAGGGAGGATTGGTGGCAGTAGTACTAGTACTAGTAGCAGTCCTCGCACTAATACCAATACTAGTACTAATCCCAGTATTATTCTGCTAGTATTCTACCAGTACTAGTACTGGTGTTTGTGTTTGTAGTGGTAGTAGCAGTAGTAGTAATAATAATGATAATACTGCGCTGGCCGTTGCTAGGGTGCAGGGAGGGAAGGAGCAAATGTGACCGCGTTTTTTGGGCTCGCCGGGGCCCGGCGAGCCCAAAAAGCGGTCACATTTGGTCTCTCCGTTGCTGGGGCAGGGAGGAGAGGGAGCAGGCAAATTTTGGAAAACCAGGGCCAGATTTTGAATGATAAACTGTTCGTAAAAAGCGAGTTTTTGATTGGGGTCGGGGCCCATTTCGGCTTTCCCTTATTCCGGCACAAAGGGTCCGGCAGTTGCTCAGGTGCAGGGAGGGAAGGAGCAAATGTGACCGGTTTTTGGGCCCGCCACGGCCCGGCGAGCCCAAAAAGCGGTCACATTTCGTCTCTCCGTTGCTGGGGTGGAGGGAGGACTGAGAGCAGGCAAATTTTTTTGGAAATTCAAGGCCAGATGTTGAAGTGACTTCTTCTCGTAAGAAGCGTGTCAGGGCCAATCTCGGGGTTCCCCCATTCCGGCACATGGCCTGGCCGTTGCTAGGGTGCAGGGAAAGAAGAAGCAAATGTCACCGCTTTTTGGGCTCGCCGAAACCCGTCGAGCCCAAAAAAGGGTCACGTTTGGTCTCTCCGTTGACGGTGCAGGGAGGAGAGGGAGGGAAGGAGCAAACGTGACCGCTTTTTGGGCTCGCCGGGGCCCGTCGAGCCCAAAAAACGGTCACATTTGGTCTCTCCGTTGCTGGGGTGTAGGGAGGAGAGGGAGCAGGCAAATTTTGGAAATTCAAGGTCGTACAAAGCGCGTTTTTGATTGGTGTCAGTGCCGATCTCGGTGTTCCCCCCTTCCCGGCACATGTGGCCTCGCCGTTGCAAGGGTGAAGGGAGGGAAGGAGCAAATGTGACCGCTTTTTGGGCTCGCCGCGGCCCGGCGAGCCCAAAAAGCGGGGTCACATTTGGTCTCTCCGTTGCAGGGGTGTAGGGAGGAGAGGGAGCAGGCTTGGAAATTCAAGGCCAGAATTTGAAGTGATAAACTCTGTTCGTAAGAAGCGCGTTTTTGATTGGTGTCGGTGCCCATCTCGGTGTTCACGCCATTCCGGCACATTTGGCCTCGCCGTTGCTAGGGTGAAGGGAGGGAAGGAGCAAATGCGACCGCTTTTTGGGCTCGCTGCGGCCCGGCGAGCCCAAAAAGCGGCCACATTTGGTCTCTCCGTTGCTGGGGTGTAGGGAGGAGAGGGAGCAGGCAAAATTTTGGAAATTCAAGGCCAGAATTTGAAGTGATAAATTCTGTTCGTAAGCGCGTTTTTGATGGGTGTCGGTGCCGATCTCGGTGTTCCCCCCCTTTCCGGCACATTTGGCCTCGCCGTTGCCAGGGTGAAGGGAGGGAAGGAGCAAATGTGACCGCTTTTTGGGCTCGCTGCGGCCCGGCGAGCCCAAAAAGCTCAGAAGAGGCTCGTCATGCCCAAAAAAAGGGCCGCCGGAAATACATATTTCAAAAAAAAAAGCACCATTTAATTGTTTGGGCGTCCGGGGACCGGTTGCAGGCTTGTAGTCTTCCCA